GTGTGGAGCCGAAAGCTCAGAATACAACAATTGTTCCAGAGATCGCGTCTTCCTCTTCTTTACAATAGTTATTTCTGATTTATAAGCCGGCATTTGGCAGCCACAGCTAATCCTAGGTATGAACAATCTGTGATCCCAATCCAAACGCTTTGCTCAATAAGCACTATTATAACGCTCTATAATTGTAGGTGGCGGTAACGGGACGAGCATGTTCCGCAACCTAAGCGGTGAACGAATTTTCTTCGATAATGTATGTTCCGTACTGCCTTCCGGAAAGACTAACGTATTCTCGGCGCGGGTTAGAGCAACGCGTTACTTTGTATGACTGAACAGACTCTTTGTTAAATAAAATGATAGGAGAGATGGCATAAGAGATTATATCTCAAGCCAAAAGATAACAAGTTGCAAAAAGAACGGCGTTCCAGTCTGCAACACATGATTATAGATATATTACAGGCCAAATTTCTGAAATTTAAACCAAAAAATTATGAACATACCGCGTACAGTAAATCCTGTCTTCAAGGGTATTTAATTGTTCCTAACGCCAGAGCTGACATCGCATGCAAATTAAATTAAATTTAGTCGTAGGAGTAGTCAAATGAAGTTATAAGTATGGTAATCATTATAAATCAAAAAAGTTTGGGTAGCTCCAAATAAGCGCCATAGGGAGGGGGTTTTAAGAAGACAAGCGATAGCTGTGTACATGACTAGCAATAAAATGGGAGTAAGATGCGGTATTGGACAGGAAAGTGGGCTTCGCAAGTCACAGAATATTACAAGTTCGGTCTTGCTACCGGTCCGGTCGAAAAACAGAAGTGCTTTGCCAGCAACTGTGGTCATAGTAGATGCACGAACATACAGAATCGGATACTCTCTGACGCAAATAGACAATGGTTGATGGTATGCAATTCACAAAATTAGGAAGCCGCTCCAGTGCGATCAAGACTAGAAAGTGTAAGCACCTTATGGATTTATTGAAAGAAAGGCGTGACGAAATCACCTAAGGTAACGCCTTTTGAGCATAATTTTCGGTAAGTCAGCAAAACTACATGTCCCACTGACGTTCTTAATTAGTTGCGTAGATTTGATGTCAACGGCAGAACGTGTATAGTATGTGATGTAGACGGGAAAGACGTTAATTTCTGTACACAAATCAATTCAAGATATTTTTGAGATTTAGAGAACTGGAGAAAATCAGGAGACAGACAGTAAATATTTCTCCTTTATCATTGCTTTTGCTTGGTCTGCAAGCAAACGTCTGTTCGATACATATATTTTGCCTTCGTTTTCCAAGGGGAGAAATAAACGCCGGAAATTGTTCATGACCTTTCAAATATTGAATATCTGAGTTGGTAATATCGGCATGTGTTACTAGTAATAACAATAAGTTGGTAGGCTTTAACACGCATAATTTAATTAAATCATTTTAGTACAGTCCAGCACCTACGATTCTTGTGCAAGGATAATCAATTCATTCGGAGACGACTGATATGATAAACGCTTGTCTTATCTTTTTAGATACCTTTAATTAGAGCTTTACACAACCTAGGCAAGATCATTTATGACAGTCTAGCATGGTCCATCACAGACGATTGTGAAGATCTGATACGAGAGTAGATGCAACATGAATGTCGCAGTAAGACAGATAAATCTGCTGGCAGACTTAAATGATATATGACGGAAGATACACTGACCTGCTGAGCGTCCATGGAGAGCAGCTTGGCTGTGACAGATGCTGCGGCAACAGCAGCAGCAGGTGGCAGCT